ATCTTATACATTCTTGTATTTGATCTCTCATCTATATTGCAAAGTCAATAATAATATTGAATTAATAAAAGAAAATTACATTTTACTTGTTTATAAATCAAACTTAAAAGAAATGTTCAAATTATTATAAATTGAATTATAAAAAATACACAATTACCTTTGAATCTTTTTGATCTTATTCTAGCTGATCAACAAAACAACATACATTACCTACCTTTAGATAACTTAGTAAACTCTCCCAACTTAAAGTTATTTAATACATCAACTTTTCCACCTGACTCTATTACATGTACTCTCATAACAGAATCTAAAGTCATATTAAAATAATAACAATACTAAAATTACTGAATTTAGAAAGAAAATACTAAGATTCTTGAACTTAAAAAGGAATATACTAATATTAAAGTTAAGAATATGAAATTAAGGTAAATGTAAAGCTAAACTTAAAGCTGAAATAACAAAATTAAGACACAATTTTGAAAAGCATAAACAAGTCATTGTTAATATGCAAAATACTATTGATATCATTATTGATACTATTGCTAATATATTTACTTTTAATATAACTCAATCTATCTATATAAAATCTTATAAAACTTTTATTCACATATATACATATTTCTAGTAAGAGACTTTTATATAAAAATCTCAAGTGTATTATTTTTTATAAGGCATACACGTTGTAAGTATGATTTCTTTTATTTTTTCTGATACACCTACACCAAATACAAGCATATACATTGCCAAAAAAACCATTCTAATTATATGGTATTATATACCTTCATTGGAAAATGAAACATTGACTTTTTAAATTTTAAATTTATTGGAATTTCTTGTTTTGAACCCTTTCGGGTATATTGGTATTTAGTTGCCCCTTCATTCACGAGATTCTAAAAGTCATATTGTGAGTATTAATCCAATGAAAAATAAATGTATTTGTTAGTTTGAAATTGTAGACTGCTTACCTGCATTGTGGCCATCACCTGAAAACAGCCCATAAGTGTCCCCCAAGTTGTTGGATCTTCGGGAAATCTAAATTCTCCCACCAGTATCATTCGATAAATTCCATCATAGCGAAGATCGATAATATAGCATCTTCCAAGGTAACCTAAAATTGTGAAGGCAAAATTTGTAAAGGTTGCGTTCCTATGAAAGAAATTGGCCTTACTCTACTAACCAAAGACATGTAATCCACAGATAACGAGATCAACACCATTTTCTAATGACTTATCTAATGATGCTCGCATTGTTTTTCCCAAAGTCACTAGATCTTCTTCATTTACTAAATATTCTTTTGTATTCGGTGGTTTTATTTCGGCAAACATTAATTCGACAAATTTTTTAGAATTGATGGTCCTTATTGTAAAGTCGGGTTTTGAGCCAGAAAGGATAGGATCAAATTGTTTCATCGTCTGAGCAGATGATTTCGATGTCTTGTTTGCCCTAAGTCCATATAGAATATAATGACAAATAAACAAATATGCTTATTTTATACTATATAGACTTCATTTTGGATATGTACCAGTCCATGGTCGTTTTTTTGCCTTCTGGAAAAAACGGCTTAATCACAGGGTCGACGTAGTTGTGAGAATGTGTATCCTCGATTTCGTTATTTTTGACAAATGAATTTTGATAGCGGTCAACTCTAAAATGTGCAGAACTCGTATTAGGATGTGTACTTGAGGCAGAATTCTATTATAATATGCAATCTTAATGACACATACAAATTAAAAAGTATATTATGCATTATTTCTTCGAGTTCTCCATCCACCCTATAGTTTCTTAGAAAATTCTTAATTTCGGATCGACGTCTTTGTGGGTCTTGTTCTTGGGATGCGATCTGAAAATGTACAATAACTCGAATAATTAAACTGCATATATTCCATTGAAAACCTAAATTCACTCACTACCTTCACAATTGTTCCACATAAATCGAAGACACGTTCTGGAACATCAATATAAGGATACTGTGTGCGAATCTCTGAGAAGACACACTGCCATGATTCATCATCAAAGTATTCATGAAGCTCTTGCGGATTCTCTTCTTGGAAAAGAAATATATGGCTTAGGGCCCTATGAGAGGAAAGAAGTTAATCACGAATGCTCCAGCCATCCAAAAACAAACAATACATACAGTTCTTCATCAGTACTTAAGATCTTCTTTGACTTGCATTTCTGTATTACAGAAGTACGGTATTCCATACAAATTTTAGAAATGTCTACTTCACCAATAACCCACTTTTAAGAGATAATACAGAGTTAAATTCACACTAATATATCATATAACCTGTAAGACATTTTTATTATTTACCACGGTAGAATCTTCTTTTAGTTCCCAATCAATTTCACCAGGTCCTATGAAATAATCAAGATAAAATGACCTCTTTGCTTTTGTGGAACCTTCAGAATCAGAAGAAGGATTATAGGTTTGATCTGAAGTTGTACTTCCGCTCGTGACTTCGCTTTCTGCTAATGCTGTTGAGATATTTGACTTAGATGATCGTATCCTATATGACTTTGGTTCACAAGACGTTTCTGATATTTCGTCCTCCGTTTCATACTTTCTTTTTAATTCTGCGGATCTTTTTTTGAAACGTAACGAGTGATTCAGTGTCTGGAAATTACCAGACTTTATTAACAGTTCACTGCCATTATTGTCGAAAGATCTCTCAAGACGCCTCTATAAAATTATAGGTTAATATTTACAATAGATATGATGAGCCTGCGTCGTGCAGAAGACATAAATTATTTACCTCGATAAATTCTCTATTTAATTCTTCAAAAAATTCAGAAATCTCTTTTTTTTGAAAGACCGTTTTAGCACTATCATGAATTTTTTTAGCCTTTTTTTTCTCTCTATTTGTACCAGATTCACCAATTCTCTTAAAGACTTTAATAAACGCATCTAGGATATTTTGTTTGCTATCTGAAGTAAATTGAAATCCTGCATAATCTTTCAGGTACTGGAGACAGTTTAGGAAATTCCAGTCTTTACTATCAGTGTCACTTGCAAATGTTGAAACATATCGACAAAAATCCATATCTAAAAAAAGCGACGTATTATGAATAATTTGGAAGATAATTGCAATGAAAGCGAAAAACTATCGTAATTGCCAGTGGACAGTAGCATTTAACAATATAGTATACTGGAGAAGAGGTCCAGGGAGGCCACCCTGCTACAACTCTCTTCTCCAAGCATCGGCCAAAGGGCAGAGACCATAGAGACGTAGGATACTAATATCGTTAGGTATACTGGAGAAGAGGTCCAGGGAGGCCACCCTGCTACAACTCTCTTCTCCAAGCATCGGCCAAAGGGCAGAGACCATAGGGACGTAGGATACCATTGGCGCTACTGTGTCAATATGAGATTAACTTAACTTAATAAACTTAATAAACTTAATGTCCTTCAGATGATGATACAGTTCGTGAAAAGTGATATCAGATATGAAAATTTTTTTATGCAGACAAATTTATTTAGTACCCTAGCCACGGCAAAAAAAAGTTACTGTCACGTGATGTTAATCTGATCCGAACCTCAGCCGACCAAACTTCTCAGCCAATCAGCATCAATTATGTATATTATACTTGATTGGCTGAAAAATCTCTGTGTAAATAATACATTCAAAGTTCCAAGTTCTCGAACACTAAAATTAACTCAATACTCATCATAGAAGCTTTTTATTGCAATTAGTGTTTAGATCTTTCACTTTCAATTTTTCTTTGACATTGCGCAAGGTGAATTTTGTTTGCGACCAGGTGCGGGGGTGAGGGTTCCTACAGTAATTCGAGCTAACTTGTGCAATTGGTCGTTAAGTGTCCAGATCTGCAATGCGTTTCACTTCACCCCTAATTGTCGCGTCTAAAGGAGTTGGAAGTGTTAGCTCTATCACTATTATGGATTCAGTAAATAAGTCGAGATAAAGAAATTATTATCAAAAATTTTATTAGTGGTATTTTTGGGTTGTCAATTTTATTTAGCTTCGTTATAATAAGTATTGAGTTTTGACGCTACCATTACATCTTCGATCTTTTTGCACAATAGTAATAAATGAATAATAACTACAATAATAATGTTTTCTCTCTGAATGAGATTATTACTAATAGTGTTATGATTTAGATTTTCACTAAATCATAAAGTCATGTGCCGTTAAAATCTTATATTCTTATTGGTTATATTTTAT